ATCATCCCAGAGAATTGGGTGTGTGGGGGGGGGGGTAGTTGAGTTTGTGCTGCATGTTAACCCGGAAACCGCAGCCCCTCCTTTTATACTGCAAACCCATTTTAAATGGCCAACCCAACGGGTGCTTGGTATGGGAAACGAGGGCGCTGCTGTTTGAAACCATTCCCACATGTTATGAAGGTTAAAAAAGCCAAAAGACTGTGGCTTACCATGGCTGCCTGCAAGCCGAATTCTGTTGCCTGGCACTGCGTGAGTGATCTCTCACACCAAACCGGCAGGCCCTCAATATAAGAGGAAAAATGCGACCTTGTAACGAAAGCACATGTGCTGTGTAATGTGAACAGCAAAATTTAATGTGAAAGAGTGTACCCATTGTTCTCTAAAATGTGTCTTTTTTAACCACCTCGCCCTTCTCCTCCACCAGCTGCAAATGTTTCTCCTTCGCAGAGGCTAGTGAAGATTAGAAGGAGAAAACGGCGGTCTCGGGATGATATGTTCTCGGAGCTCCAGCTGTCCTCCCACGCTGACAGAGCACAGCAGAATGCGTGGAGGCAGTCAATGTCAGAGTGCAAAAAAACACAATATGAACGAGAGGAGAGGTGGCGGGCTGAATCGCGGGCTGAAGAGAGCAAGTGGTGGGCTGAAGAGGATAGGTGGCGTCAGCTTGCTGACAGAAGGCAAGAGTCGATGCTCCGGCTGCTGGAGCATCAAACTGATATGCTCCAGCATATGGTTGAGCTGCAGGAAAGGCAGCAGGAGCAGAGACTGCCGCTACAGCCCCTGTGTAACCAACAGCCCTCCTCCCCAAGTTCCACAGCCTCCTCACCCAGACGCCCAAGAACGCGGTGGGGGGGGCCTCCGGCCACCCAGCCACTCCACCCCAGATGATTGCTCAAGCATCAGAAGGCTGGCCTTCAATAAGAGTTAAAGTTTTAAAGTTTTAAACTGCAGTGTGTCCTTTTCCTTCCCTCCTCCCCCACCCCTCCTGGGCTACCTTGGCAGTTATCCCCCTAGTTGTGTGATGAATTAATAAAGAATGCATGAATGTGAAGTAACAATGACTTTATTGCCTCTGCAAGCGGTGCTCGAAGGGGGGGGAGGGGAGGGTGGTTAGTTTACAGGGAAGTAGAGTGAACCGGGGGAGGGGGCGGAGAGCTCATCAAGGAGAAACAAACAGAAGTTTCACACCGTAGCCTGGCCAGTCACAAAACTGGTATTCAAAGCTTCTCTGATGCACACTGCGCCCTGCTGTACTCTTCTAACCGCCCTGGTGTCTGGCTGCGCATAATCAGCGGCCAGGCGATTTGCCTCAACCTCCCACCCCACCATAAATGTCTCCCCCTTACTCTCACAGATATTGTGGAGTGCACAGCAAGCAGCAATAACAATTGGAATATTGGTTTCGCTGAGGTCTATCCGAGTCAGTAAACTGCGCCAGCGCGCTTTTAAACGTCCAAATGCACATTCTACCACCATTCGGCACTTGCTCAGCCTATAGTTGAACAGGTCCTGACTACTGTCCAGGCTGCCTGTGTACGGCTTCATGAGCCATGGCATTAAGGGATAGGCTGGGTCCCCAAGGATAACGATAGGCATTTCAACATCCCCAATGGTTATTTTCTGGTCTGGGAAGAAAGTCCCTTCCTCCAGCTTTTGAAACAGACCAGAGTTCCTGAAGACGCGAGCATCATGTACCTTTCCCGGCCATCCCACGTTGATGTTAGTGAAACGTCCCTTGTGATCCACCAGGGCTTGCAGCAGCATTGAAAAGTACCCCTTGCGGTTTATGTACTCGGTGGCTTGGTGCTCCGGTGACAAGATAGGGATATGGGTTCCGTCTATCGCCCCACCACAGTTTGGGAATCCCATTGCAGCAAAGCCATCCACTATGACCTGCACGTTTCCCAGAGTCACTACCCTTGATATCAGCAGGTCTTTGATTGCGTTGGCTACTTGGATCACAGCAGCCCCCACAGTAGATTTGCCCACTCCAAATTGATTCCCGACTGACCGGAAGCTGTCTGGCATTGCAAGCTTCCACAGGGCTATCGCCACTCGCTTCTCAACTGTGAGGGCTGCTCTCATCCTGGTATTCTGGCGCTTCAGGGCAGGGGAAAGCAAGTCACAAAGTTCCATGAAAGTGCCCTTACGCATGCGAAAGTTTCGCAGCCACTGGGAATCGTCCCACACCTGCAACACAACGCAGTCCCACCAGTCTGTGCTTGTTTCCCGGGCCCAGAATCGGCGTTCCACGCCATGAACCTCCCCCAGTAACACCATGATTTGCACACTGCTGGGACCTGTACTTTGTGAGAGGTCTATGACCATGTCAATTTCCTCATCGCTCTCGTCGCCGCGCTGCAATCGCTGCAATCGCCTCCTTGCCTGGTTTTGCTTTGGCATGTTCTGGCTCTGCATATACTCCAGGACAATGCACGTGGTGTTCATAGTGCTCATAATTGCCGCGGTGATCTGAGCGGGCTCCATGATCCCAGTGCTATGGCATCTGGGCTGAAAAAAGGCGCGAAACTATTGTCTGACGGAGGGAGGGAGAGGCGAGTGACGACATGGCTTACAGGGAATTAAAATCAACAAAGGTGGCTGTGCATCAGGGAGAAACACAAACAACTGTCACACAGAATGGCCCCCCCAAAGATTGAACTCAAAAGCCTGGGTTTAGCAGGCCGTTGATTTCACGGAGGGAGGGGGAAGCAAATGAATACAGAACAAATCTGGTCCATCTATCTTTTACATCTTTGTGTAAAAGCAGCAGACGGTGCAGCATGACTGATATCCATCGGCATCTTCTGGGTGCTTGGCAGAAGATGCTGTATTACGATTGCTAGCCATCATCGTCAAGATGGTTCAATAGGACTGCCGGCAGGACTGAGTCTCCAGGAGACACAACATGTCTGCCCAGGTGCCTCTGACCGAACTCACTGAGGAATACGACGATGATGGATACCAATCGTAATACACCATCTACTGCCAAAAGGCAATTAGCTGCTGCTGTGTAGCAATGCAGTGCCACGTCTGCCGGCACCCAGATGACATATGGTGACGGTGAGCTGAGCTGAGCGGGCTCCATGCTTGCCGTGGTGTGTTGTCTGCACAGGTAACCCAGGTAAAAAGGCGTGAATCGATTGTCTGCCGTTGCTCTGACAGAGAGGGAGGGGCCTGATGACATGTACCCAGAGCCCCCCACAACACTGTTTTTGCATCATCAGGCATTGGGACCTCAACTCAGAATTCCAATGGGCGGCGGAGACTGCGGAAACTGTGGGATAGCTACCCACAGTGCAACGCTCCGGAAATCGACGCTAGCCTCGGTACTGTGGACGCAGTCCGTCGACTTAATGCACTTGGAGCATTTTATGTGGGGACACACACAATCGACTGTATAAAACCGATTTCTATAAAACCGGCTTCTATAAATTCGACCTAATTTCGTAGTGTAGACATACCCTATGTGACATAATCAGATGTTCTCGTAAGCCATACAAGAGTAATCCTTTTTCTGAACTCTGTTGAACTCTTGGCCTCAGTGATATCTTGTGGCAATGAGTTCCATACATTGTGAGAGACTGTGTAGGTAAAAAAAGTTATTTCCTTTTATCATTTTTAATTTGCTGCCTTTCAGCGTCATTAGATGTCTCTTTGTATTATGTGAAAGGATAATACAATAAAGTACTCTTCCACGTGACAGCTGATAGAAATTACATTTGAGGACACAACGTTCTCGGATATAAAAAATCCGATTGATTAGTGAGAAAGTGGTCCAATGCAGTCACACATCCCGCTCATCTACTTTTTGAAATAGGACAAGCTGCTTGTGAAATGAGTAGCAGATTGCCAACTCAAACATCAGGTGATTTTCTAGGATAATTACCAGCCTTACAAAAAAGGACCTGGAGGCTAATTAGGAAATTTATAAACTTTGAATTATCACCTGGCCTGGATTGTAAGCCCACTCTTTATATCTTTCAGTCCAAGATGCTGCTCATCCCTTTGAACGTTTCAAAGTTAACATCAGAAAGGATCAAACCAGGTTTAAAGAGTTTACAACAATATTAAATTCAATACTATGTACTGCTCAATTCCCTAAATAAAACATGCAATTTTTACCCCACAGAACAATTTGAAAGATGTCCTTATTCCATTAAATAAAGGGCAAGTATTTATGTTTGGTTTCCAAGGGATGAATGCCACTTGATGCCCAAGCATCAAACTAGGCCTACAACTTTTACAGATTTACATCAATAAATTGTTTAACTGTCACTAGATTTTATTTAACCAACTCAGATTACTTCAGAAGAAGTGATATCATTTCCTAACTATTCACATTAAATTACTCTTCCAAATGAAGATGCCAAGAAAACTCCAATACTATCTCCAAATAATCAAACCTTCAGTCAAGCGTCCTTACAAAACGATCTGCATGTATTGAGTGGTTTGTTAGTCTAAAGACAGGTGAACCAAGACTATTCCAGAAGTTAATAAGGTCTTTTAGTTTTTCATTATCCTTTGTTGCAGTCCTATTTCAAACTTCATTAGTTATAGTCTCAATACAGTGCAGTAGTGTTGATTTACAAGCTAAAGGGATATTTTGCTTTCTAAAGTCCTCTGAATTGTTCAGAGGGGTTTCTTGGCTTTCCTCATTCAACCCTGGAACATTTGAAAATGTTGGTCAGTCTGTAAAGCCCCAATGTACCAAACGGCTGAACACAACAATCAAACTATATAATGAGATGCCAAGAAGAAAGCGATACTCCAGATTACTTTGTTTGTATACATATTACAAATTCCACAATGCACATTCACAAATGCAGGCTACTGGTTGTTAGAGAAAGTTTTAAGCAAGAGAAATTCAGGCAAGGACTAAATAGGAAAAATTAAACACATTAACTAAAAGAGAGTCAGAATATTTATTGTAATCTACTTCCAACTGAGAACAGACTCTGGTTCAATCATCCACTAGTTTGGAAAAGGCATATACTCACTTCTTTTGTGTGAGGTCTAAACCACTATTGACTATTCCATCCACCTTTACATTCTTCTGTCCACAGATATTTCCATAACTGTCATATCCTGAAACCAATCTCGCAGCTGCTCCAGTAGCTATTGAAAAGCCACAAATAAAACCCTGGGGGAAAAAATAGATAAAAGGTTTCAATGGCAACTGTGTCAGAAACACAGTTTAACAATGCTCTCCTTGGAGCTGGTCGTGAGGGAAGGGTCAGTTGTAATTCATTTATTTCAGAGCAGGGGAGTCCAATTTTTTGCACCCTTCTTTGAAATTCCTTCCATTTAAAAGGGAAAAGTAAGTCAATCGAGAAAGAACCACTGTGGGGAACAACAGACAGTTGTGAATTTAAATGCAAACACTAATTTAAAATATGATTCAGATGCGCTAAAAATTATTTATTAGCTGAACAGGCTCAACAATGTGCTAGGTGCTTTTACAAGACAGGCATAAAACAAAGTTCCTGAGGGGAACTGCTCACAATCTAGGCAGATAGCACACAATTGTAAAGGGGAGGGGGGCAGGGAAGGAGAGCAACACATGCAGCATGACTAGTGAAGTTTGGGATACATCTTGTTAATTTCCAGATAGTTTGGGTATTTTGGTTTGCAAGATTTTTCAAACATCTTGTTAACACTTCTGAGGGAAAGAAGGCCTATTTGGAGTAAGTGCATTTTAAGGAGAAGGGGAGGCAGGGCAGACCAGGCAAGACATTTCAGATATAGGGGACAAATGGAAGAAAAAGAAACAGAAATAACCGTGGAAGCATACAAAAGGAGCAGCTAGGAGCAGCATGGTGGAGCAAAGGGCCTTAGAGAAGAGAGACCCAGGTCTCACTGGGCTATAGACTGACTTTCAAAGAGCTTAGATCGGATATTAAAGGGGAAGTTTGGGGGTCGGGAGGAAATGCAGAGAGGCCACTGTAAGGAGGTCGTGCCTGAAAGCATCAATTATCTCTTTACAACTAATTAGGCTGGCAAGATCCTGCGCAGAGAAAAATAGTCCTTATGCTGTCTCAGCAAGTGTCCAGTGATGCCAGAGGAAGAAGATAAGAGGGGTAAGCCAAAGTTTGAGACTGATGGGAGAATGAATTAGTGGGGGGGGGAGGCAAAGGAAACAAGTGCAGAAGAGAGTCTGGAGTTACAAGTGGACACAAGTATCAGAGGGGTAGCCGTGTTAGTCTGAATCTGTAAAAAGCAACAGAGGGTCCTGTGGCACCTTTGAGACGAACAGAAGTATTGGGAGCATAAGCTTTCGTGGGTAAGAACCTCACTTCTTCAGATGCAAGTAATGGAAATCTCCAGAGGCAGGTATAAATCAGTGTGGAGATAACGAGGTTAGTTCAATCAGGGAGGGTGAGGTGCTCTGCTAGCAGTTGAGGTGTGAACACCAAGGGAGGAGAAACTGCTTCTGTAGTTGGATAGCCATTCACAGTCAGCTTAAACCTCTCCAACGCATCATCAGTGATCTACAACCCATCCTGGACAATGATCCCTCACTTTCACAGACCTTGGGAGGCAGGCCAGTCCTCGCCCACAGACAACCTGCCAACCTTAAGTATATTCTCACCAGCAACCATGCACCGCACCATAACAACTCTAACTCAGGAACCAACCCATGCAACAAACCTCGATGCCAACTCTGCCCACATATCTACACCAGCAACACCATCACAGGACCTAACCAGATCAGCTACAACATCACCGGCTCATTCACCTGCACATCCACCAATGTTATATACGCCATCATATGCCAGCAATGCCCCTCTGCTATGTACATTGGCCAAACTGGACAGTCACTACGCAAGAGGATAAATGGACACAAGTCAGATATCAGGAATGGCAATATACAAAAACCTGTAGGAGAACACTTCAACCTCCCTGGCCACACAATAGCAGATGTAAAGGTAGCCATCTTACAGCAAAAAAACTTCAGGACCAGACTCCAAAGAGAAACTGCTGAGCTCCAGTTCATTTGCAAATTTGACACCATCAGATCAGGATTAAACAAAGACTGTGAATGGCTATCCAACTACAGAAGCAGTTTCTCCTCCCTTGGTGTTCACACCTCAACTGCTAGCAGAGCACCTCACCCTCCCTGATTGAACTAACCTCGTTATCTCCACACTGATTTATACCTGCCTCTGGAGATTTCCATTACTTGCATCTGAAGAAGTGAGGTTCTTACCCACGAAAGCTTATGCTCCCAATACTTCTGTTAGTCTCAAAGGTGCCACAGGACCCTCTGTTGCTTTTTAAGTGGACACAAGAGACTCAAAAGGCAATTGGAAGGAGGGTGTGGAGGAGTCAAACATTGACAGCCTTAAAGCCTTAGGAAGGCAAGACAGCGCAGTGCTAAGGAGGGACTAATACCAAAGGAGACAAGTTGATTAGAGAGAAATTCCAAATGAAGAGCAGGTCACTGTCTTATAGTAAATTAGCTTATTTATAAACTTAACATTGGACAAGTCAAAGCAAAGAAGGAGGAGTAAAAGGTTATCGCTAGTAATAAGCTGATTTGCAGCTCTTTCTGTCAATTTCATCAATCCATCACCACTCATGTAAAAGCTCTAATTCCTTTTAATAGAATTTTATGTAGGATAATGCACAGGTTCTTAATGTTTTCCACACTGTGACTCTACATTACAGCAGAGAAGTTTCAGGATCCTCCTCCATCTATTTTAGGATTCTACTCCCATCTAGTCACAAAGTGAGGGAAGGTGGATGTAACCACCTGAACTTATTTGCAACTCCCCAAGGCAGTGATGATATGACAATTGCTCCACACACCATATTGGTGAGACAAGAAAGCTGTAGGATAGTACACCATACAAAAGGAAAAATTCACAGTTGCAGGTGTGTATGGAAATATATCATCAGGACATGGCCAACAATAGACCGGGTAACAGCAAAGAGTGAAACGTAACACAATCTGGGATCTAATTTTCAAAGATGGGCATATGCAACTGTGTGTACTTAATTTGTATAGTCTAATACCCCAAATAAATATACAGAACTAGGCATTTCTGTATTAAACAGTCATTTAAAAATCAAATTTGTCAATGGATCGCAAAAATACCAAAGGGGTGCTAAGTGAAGAGCAAGTTAGCTATGAGCTTGCAGAGCACCATGGTTGTAAAATAAAGCCAGTAAGAGTTTGAGATGCATAGACAGAGAGAATCCTCTCACAAACCAGGGATGTGAAAAAGATAGTTATTCTCTAATTGGCGGTGGGTTGGACCTAGAATAATGTAAGCAACCCTCCCTAATTCCATACAAAAAAGGCAAAAAACAAGGTACTGAATTTTCACTATGCTGCAATCATTTTTTTGTAATTTGACATTTAACTGCATCATAGCATTTATAAGGAGGAAGCCAAGTGTTTTGGCATCTAGTTAAAACACAGTGAGGCTTTGGCACCTGGGACAGCTTGGGAAGAAGGTTTGGACTGTGGAATAAGCGTATTAACTGGATGGCTCTGCTAAAGTTATCAGCAGGGATATCAACAATTTTGAGGTTTACATTGCCATTTTTATGTTTCAGAACTAACAGCCTATTGAGATTAAGGTAACAGTTCCTTATGCTCAAAGCTACTTTTTCAAGACATCTACAGGCTTAGGATGATAGCGTTTAAATAAATAAAAAAAAAAAAATAGGCCAAGTGTAGCGTGACATCTTCACAACCATGAGGGCTAGAAACTTGTTTTAAAAGTAGCTTAGATTCTGATGCACACAATTCTGTGGCAAAACAGAGTCTATGCAAATTATGAGACCCTGTGAAAGTACTAGATTTGTGCATTGTGACACTGCTTTAGAAAATCAAGCAAGTTCTTGTTCCGTAACTGATACTTGCAATGCTAAAATACACTAGACATTGACTGACATTAGCAAATTTCTAATCTCAAAATCTGATTTCTTCACACTGAGTGAAAACTGTCTGTGGCTATGTAACATTTAGAATCTCTCTGGTTTGACTCACCATTCCAACACAAAAGAGGACGAATAGCAACAGCCATGGTATATCTGTGCAGCTGCGATCCTCCAGAGGCTTCCACTCTCGTTTGGAGCTCTTGGGTGAGAAAAAGGGATAAAGACAATGGTTACGAAGTCAATTCAATAAAATATGTTCTGCTAATAACAAAGCGCTTTGAAAAGTAGTTTTTAGGGCACTGATATTCATCTGGGTTTATCTTTTGATACTGAAGTTACTTCATCTAGACTGTAAAATGTACAATAATTATTTAAACTACAGTGAGGCTAATGGAACCATTTAACAGACAGTCAAGGTAATGTGGCCAAGGGTAAATGCGATAAGAATCTGAAAAAGAGAGCGAGTAAGAGCAATGCTGAATTCAGAAAGCATTTCACTTATTCATATTTCTGGCTCTAGCACAAGAGGGGAAATAAGCATGGTCACTCAAGGGATCAACAATACTAGCTAGTCACTGTACCTTCCACAGCTACTGTATGTAGAGTAATCTGCTTTCCAAGAAGGATAAAAGGATAAGCTTTTCACAAACTCGTCAGTTTTAAACACCTCCATGGCAGGATTAACAGCATAGTACAGACAGAAAGAACGTAATATGTAGCTGTCTAAGGAACAGTTTTTTAATTTGCCTAGAAAAGGCAGCTGTGGAGTTCTGCAATTCAGGCAAGTCGTGTCAACTTACTAGAAGGAAGGAGTCTGGAATTAAGTTAAAACTCTCAGGAAAGAGATTCTACTGCTGTTTCAGATGACAGAAATACCTCCATGGATAAAAAGCTGGACTATTAACAATTTGCACTATAAAAATGGCTACCCTGCGGCCCTCAAGTGTACATTTCATAAAGTCTGTTCTATTTATACTGGCTCATTATAATTAAAAAATTATGAAGAGGTTTTTAAGCTACGCTTCTTCCCTAGGAAGCTAGGGAAAGAATGCATATTGACTACAAAGCAAAATTAAGTATAGCACTAGAATTTTGTTCACAGATCAAAATTTTGATTTAGATCCAAGGTTGAAAAAAGTACTCCTCATTTTAAAAATAATAAAGTTGCAGAGACAACAAAGCTCTTTCCAGGAACCTACTGCTTGTAGCATCTGCCTACCAAAAGTTTAGGCATTTCACAAAGATCCTTTTAGAGCTATTCTTCCATTCAGTAAGGGCATGGATCACAGAACACAGACTGTAGTCCTGAAGAAGTGTAGAATGGCCTTCTATACCTTTATGGGAGAGCATGAACTGGGATATAAAGAAACAACTAAAGATTCCAACTTCTTGTGTAGGATAACCTGCCAAAACCTTAAATTTTCATTATAGGTTCTGGAGTTTGTTGGAGATTCAGATGAGAAATTAGAACAGGAGACTGAACTGCCAACACTGAGCTATTGTAAATTTTGCTGACATTTGCCATCTCCAGCATCTAGTTTTGCAGACTGATCAAAAGCAGAAAGTCTGCAGTATGTGGCTGTTGTATTACTAGCTAAAATGTGTTAGTAAGATGTTTTTTGGTATTCAAGACTCATCTTTAGCTTGATTTGCAAACACAAATACCCTTTACAAATAAAGTTATTAGAAAACTACAAACTAGATACAATGAATGAAAAACTGCATCTTCCTCATCCTCTGCATTCAAATTGCACATCCTGTTTGAAATGAAGTTTCATGACAATGGTATCTGTTAATATTTTTAAAGACTTTCTGTATTTGTCCAGGCTGTGCGAGAGTCCTCTAATCAGTGGCTGTTGACAGCAAAATAAAAGAACATCTCTTGGGAAATCACTGCCTCCCATGAGAGGAGCTGGCTGGGTGACCCCACTCAGTCTGGGCTGGCATAGAGGGGACTTGAAAGAAATTTAAGTTTCCAGATAAGAACTCCAGCAGACCCAGACTCTGGGAACTGCAACCTCTGGAATTTGGCTCCAGATCAGGAACCAGAAAGGTACCTTATAAAGGACATCCTGCAGCATGGACTTGGCTTTTGAAGTTAGCATCCACAGAGGCTGCCCACATCAACTCTAGTGCCATGAAACTGTAAGGATACCCATCTCTCTCTCTCTGCTGAAAAGGTAGAGGCGGCTCTTGTGGAGTGAGCCAAGAACCTCTTTACTCCAAACACTACATTCTCTTTCTTCATACGTCCCTCCCAATGACACAAAGCCTTAAAAGGCAAGCTGGGGAACCCCACAAGAATAAAATCTGCCTTCTAGTTTCTAGAGCTTTATTCAGTTATGCAAAGCCCTCTTCCCACTGAGCAATAAGTTTCTCTTTATTCTGTGGGACTGGAAGGAATGAGGAGAGACATCCCCACCCACGTGGACAGATGAAACACGCTGGAGGACACAGGAAAGAGACTGAATTACTGCAAAAAGAACAGGAGTACTTGTGGCACCTTAGAGACTAACACATTTATTTGAGCAGACTAACACGGCTGCTACTCTGAAACCTGAATTACTGCAGAAGTTCTGACCTGATTAAAAAGCCATGTAGCAATCTGTGAACAATGAGCAAAGTTCCCAAAATCATGGCCAAACAGATTGCCAATAAAAAGGAAGTTTTGAGAAACCTCTCCTAAGATCTTCTTTAAGGCCTTGGCTACACTCGGGAATTCACAGCGCTGCTGCGAGTGTAGTCGCGCCGCCAGCGCTGCAAGAGAGCTCTCGCAGCGCTGTATGTACTCCACCTCTCCGAGGGGAGTAACTTGCAGCGCTGCGAGCGAGCATGCAGCGCTGCAGGCTCTGATCACACTGGCGCTTTACAGCGCTGCTCTCGCTGCGCTTGGGGGGGGGCATTTTCACACTCCTGAGCGCAGCAAGTTGCAGCGCTGTACAGCGCCAGTGTAGCCAAGGCCTAAGTGTTCATAACACCTGCCTATGAGGTGTTTAGCTGGGTAAGACTTCACTGTCAACTGCTTGAAAGAGATATTCTTACCACTTCCAGATGGCAAGTCAGAAATGCTCTACGGTACTTTGCTTACGTATTATTTATTTCAATTTATAACAATATACACAAAAGTGCCTACCCTCAGCTCTAGGTGCCTCTGCCAAAATTTAAAAACACAATCAGCAAAACGAAAGCCAACAGCTGTTAAATATTTCCAAGCCACTGCCACCCCCCAATCTCAATAAAAAACAATCCCATCAACACTCTCCCTCTCCCCAAAAACAGCTTCTATTGTGCCCCTCTCCCCTCAAGAGCCTGGGAAACTGCTAATAGTCCCTACAATATGAGATTTGGGTTTTCATACCAGGGAGGTGGGAGAGAATAGATTGCGAAGTTGAGGGCCTCTAATGGAAAAATGCTCTGCAAACCGCTCCTTCTCTTTTGTACTGAATGGACTCCAGCACAAGTGCCTTTGCTGACTGCAACCATGGCAGTAAGACATGAAGCAAGAGTCAGTCTTTCAGGCACTTTGTGGTTCTGTCCCTCAAAAAATGACTTCACCCCCCAAAAAAAATAAGGAGGTCAGTGTGGTTCCTTGTTAACTGCCTCATTTACTTTTGTATAAAGTCTGCTCTGTTCGCAAATAAACTGCATTTCCTAAGAGTATGTCTACGCTATGGAGACTCTTCCAGCACAGCCCTGGTGGCACAGCCCTGAAATGTACACGTGGTGTACACCAACAAAAAGGTTTTTTCCATTGGTATAGGAACACTGCCTCACCGAACAACTAAGCGAGATTGCCGGAAACGCCATCAACATAACCCCCAGCATAGATGCAGCTATGTCGGCATAGCTACGTCGGTTGGGGGTGTGGGGTTTTTTCACACCCCTGACCAATGTAGCTATGCAGATATAACTTTCCAGTGTAGACCAAACCTATCTGCCAACCACACAAATTCACTCTGGGCTCTGAGGGTATGTCTACACTGCAATTAGACACCTGCAGCTGGGCCCATGCCAACTGACTCGGGCTGCAGGGCTGTTTAATAGTACTGTAGACTTCCAGGTTCGGACTAGGATCCTGCAAGGTAGGAGGGTCATGGGCCAGCTGCAGGTAGACGTGCCCCAACAGTCAAGCTGGGTTCTTTTAATCGCTCTCATTATCACCACTACAAGAGGTGCTTGCAGGCCAAATGATGCCCTCAGCTACACCCAGGCAACCCAACCGTCTTCAAATGATGCCACCCTTACACTTAAAACAACATCTGCAGTGAGGTTTTTGCATTTAGTCATATTTGTACAAATTCTATTACGTTAAGTTCATGTAATGGCATGCTCAATATCTTTAAAGATCTCTCCAAGGATCTTTTCTGGCTTTGCTAAATCTCACAATATTTTTTATTTACAGGTAGTGCTAACAGAAAACATAAGAAGCTGATGAGTTTCGTTTGCTGCCACAACTTTGGAGGGCTCAGTCCTGATGATGAGATGGCAGATCCTTCTGTGCGGACCAGAAGAGGGGAGGGATAGCTCAGTGGTTTGAGCATTGGCCTGCTAAACCCAGGGTTGTAAGTTCAATCCTTGAGGGGGCCATCTAGGGCAAAAATCTGTCTTGGGATTAGTCCTGCTTTGTGCAGGGGGTTGGACTAGATGACCTCCTGAGGTCCCTTCCAACCCTGATATTCTCTGATTCTATGATCACCTTCAAATGAAATCTTGTAATAGGATTTTTTAAAAGCCATTGGATGTACTTTGGAAGAGCGTTGACAAGGATTTGGAATTACTCACAGTTACCACAGGTAATCCATTTCATTTGCTAAGTGAGCGGACAGCACCAGAGCCTTCCAGGACAACAGATGCAAAAGCTGCAGACACAATTCTCCACTGCTACAATGATCAACACTTCCCACAACACACCTTTCAAGATCCATGGGCCCTACACATGCCTATCACAATATGTGGTGTACCTCATTCAGTGCACTAAATGCCCCAACAACAACTATGTGAGTGCAACCAGACAGTCCTCATGCTCTCAAGAGAACTCACAGGCAAACAATAAGACAAAAAATACCCTATCACCTGTGGATGAAAACTTTTCACAAAATGATCACCCTACATCTGACCTCTCAGTCCTCATCCTCAAAGGAAACTTGCACAACACTTTCTAAAGACAAACCTGGGAACTTAAATTCATAACTTTGCCAG